CATACGTACATTGAAAGAAAAAGTATGTTAACAATTGAATCAACAGTTTAACATTCAATATTTTCTTGGATTTAAATTAATTCTATGTAGTTAATTTAAATCCAAGAAAATATTAAATGTATTTAACCGCAAAAACTGTTGATTCAACATAATTTTTCTCTTAGTGTACGAACGTGGCGCAAAAATGATTATCCAAACACCGTTGGCATAAAAAATCACGACATGATTTTCATTTCTCACGCAGTGACATCCGGATGATGTCCGTATGAACAAAATTTGTGAAAATCACGACGTGACGTTTGTATGATTTTCATTTATTATGCGGTGACTTCCGTATGATATCAGTATGAATAAAATTTGTGAAAATCACGACGTGATGTTCGTATGAATATCACGAATGTTGTCCGGGTAGGTTTTAAATTCGCAGTTCGCAGGTCTAATACGCATGTGCAAATTTTGCAAATATCACACCGTGAGTTCTACATGATATCACTGTGATGAAGCATGTGTATGCACTATCATCATGACTTTACCAGGAAATCCCGATTGTTTTCCGGGTCATTATGTTCATATTCCAAAGATCTTCGATGGAATCTTATATACGTGCAATAAGGTTCATATCAATTTTGATTTGGAATCCAAGGGGTTTTAGCTTAAATAAAACTTAAAAAGTGAAATAATCCGGAAACTGTTCTTGAAAAATTAATGAAATAAATATTTAAAAAATAGAGGATTTATTTATGGATTTAGGATTTAAATCCTTTTTTGCAAGTGGATTTAGGATTTATGATTTAAATCCAGATAACGTAATGGATTTATGATTGAGGATTTAGATCCAGTTTATGGTGTGGATTTATGGATTTAGATTTATAGATAAATATACATATATTAAATGTAAATATACATATAAAAATGATATTTTATTTGACTTAAGTTTAATGTGAACTTCTACAGTACAACTTGATTATAAATAACATCTATCAAAATTGTAAAAAACTTTAAGGCCCCCCCCTAGACGAATTTCTTCCGGCGCCCATGGCCTGCCTAAAAGTAGATATTAAACGATTTAAAATGATTAGTTTTTATGTTTAAGTTACAAGCTTGCTTAAAAATATATTCACTATTAAAATTTTTATTCATGGAAATTGTTCTTTAAATATGTTTAATTAAAAACTTTAGGATATAATTTTAAAAAATCATGCTTTAATTTTTTTTTTAAATAAATGACTAATAATTGGACGCCTTTCTGCAGAAAGGAACCAACCCACAAAACCAAAAAAATCGAGATATTTAGCCTATAAACTAATTAAGTATGTATAATTTATCTGCAAAATAGGTCATAGCCAAAATGCAAGTGTAGTGAAATCTATTAATCATTGAACCAACCAACATTCAATAATAGTGTGGATTACTAATCCAAAATTAGAATCTGTACAGTATCTGCAAGTGGGTTGGATCTTTTTTGTAAAAAAGCAGGCTGGTAGACCCACTACCAAAGTCTTTAAAGATTTCCTGCTTCTGCAAAATATAAAGTCTTGATGCATTTTTTTGGTAGCTTACAAGATGAGGTGGGGTTGGAAGATGATGTGAACGAATTTCATATAGAATCAAAATTAATTCATATTACCATTATAATAGTAATATCAGTTGTATTTTGTTTGGAAATAAATAATTGTCGCTTTTCTTTAAATACATACATACATCAGATAGTAGTTTTCATAAATTGCAGAAAGGAACCAACCAACAAAAGCCAATTCGTCACCCTTACACATAACATCACAAAATCCACCTGATGAAATTATTAAATTATATCCTTTAAACCTCCGTAAGTCCAAAATCGGCATAAAATTAACAGGTAATTTTAAAATTATTAAAATCTTTGATAGCTTTTTTCTCAGTTTCATCATGGTGTGGGTTGGTCCCATTCTGCAGAAAGCCGTCCAATTATAATTATTTGCGGTTTTGCTGGTTTTTATAGTAAAAATTGTATACCCTAATAAATACGGTGCTGTTCTAAAAAGTTATTTTCAGTCTTTGTTATATTGTTATTTATTTATGATGTAACTAAGAATTTAAGTGCAAAATAAAATATCCACAGTTTTTTTAATTGGATTTTTATTAAATATATTATGCACTCTTTTAAATATCCAGTTAAAGTTTTTGAATTTATTTATATATAGTGAAATATTAAATATCTAATTTGCTTCAAAAATGGTTTTTCTACTTTTTTATATAACCGCTTTTTACAATATGTGATTTAAGTTTTAATTTAACCCTTAAAAGTATACATTTGTTTCCTTTATTAAAAGTGTATTTAAGGATATCACGAATTGGTAATTTGGGTGTATTTATAAGACATTAAAAAAAATATTTTAATTGATGAATTGAGGCAAATTAAAGCAAAATTAGGTATTTACCAAGACCGTTGTAATTTACCTATTAAGATAAACCTCCTGAACTGCATCTTTTAATATATATACCTATAGGTGCAGTTACAACAATTTTTTACTTACTGCGTAAAAAATGTCCCAACATTTACCAGTAAAAGCTTTTGAATAATTTTTACAATTAATGTTTTTTGCCTTTTATATTTTTAAAAAGAATTTTTAATAAAAAATAAAGCTCATTGTGCACATTCTATAATACATTAAGTAATAAAAACAATTAAAAGTATTCGAATAAATCTCTGACTAAGTCGCGGTATCGAACTTACAGCGCGCGGCAGCGTTAAAACTCTGCTCACTGCTTGATATTAAATAATATCTTCCTACGAAAAATTTGTGTTTGCAGTGTTGCCGGATTTAGGGCTACACAGGAAGCGTAAGATATCTAGGATTCCTATTCTAGATACACTTACTACAGCGCGCCACCTACAGTTAAATTCAATGAACTATTCTGCATGTAACTATGGCTAAACCGGTCGTTGTTAAGCTCTGCCAAAAATTTAACCTGGGGTTCCCAACACCGTGATTAATCGATTAGCGTTGAAATAACGTCAAACGTTGTTCAGCCCGGGAGTGGGCCACACAGTCATTTCGGGCTACACAGAGTATAGCTTGTATATAGAATGGGCTGCACAATGACAGTTTATATGTATATATATGGGTATGTCTCATTTAACTTTAAATTCCAGATATAACTTTTTAAGTATTTTTGATTGTTCAAAAAATTATATTTTTTTGGATTTTTAAATTCAGTAAACCTTTGCAAGTATATACCTACCAAAAGCAGTACAGTTTTTACCCATTTTATCTTTTTTTTTAAGGTTTTAAGCAAAATATCAAGTCATCTACGCCACCAATTAAAAAAATATTTAAATTTAAGTTTAAAATTAATTAAATAGTTTTTAGTATATATCATTATTTATTATCAAAATACAGTACGTACTTTTATTTCTCGTCACCTTCGTTGCCGGTTTTATTAGACTACTGCGTTTTTTTATATATAAAAAAACGCAGTAGTCTAACAAAACCGGTAACGAAGGTGACGAGTAATAAAAGTACGTACCTGCACCAACAGAATCACGTAGAATTTTCTGGAACAACGACAATAAATAAACCACCTACACGTTTCCAGTAGCAAAATAAGACTGATTCACTGCTCTAGTCAAGAACGTTTGACCAAAAATCATCCCCACCAATATTCCATTTCGTAAATAATAGTAAGTGGCGTAGATGACCCTTACCTTATGGGACACAATATCTAGAGTCTTAAAAACTAAACAAATTAAAAAAAAAACTAAAATTTGATAAATTGGGTGAACTTGATGTTTACTCTATGAGTTTATAAGGTTAAACTTAAGAAACAGTGCAATTTACATTTAAAAAACTATTTTGCACATTTAGTTTCGGGTGAGGGACCGGTAGTGTAGGTGACATTATAAATGTTTCCAATAAAATAAAAATATATTTTATATATTTTTTACAATTTATTTTATATAAATGCGCTAAAGAGCATGATAGTTTTTAAGTGATGTCCTAAAAACTTGCAAAATATTATTATTTAAAAAAATATTTGGCCGGGACAGGTCATTTTTAAGTTAAATGAGACATACCCATATATATATGCTCATTTCTTTAATTGCTCATAACTTTTAAACGGCTTCGTATTTTTTTCTCAAAATTGATATACGGTGTAAGGGTTGCCTACCTAATAAGTAGGTATACCAAGTTGCAAAAAGTTCCAGGTCCGACTTGGCCAAAATTTTCCAAATTTTGTGTACCCTCAAAAATCACCCTACATTAGAATTTAGAATTTTTTTTCTTCCTCATAAATAAGTATTAAATTAGCTACAAAAAAATGTACAACTTATCTTTCGACAGAAAAGTTTATCAACAAAATTTTACGTGTGAAAGAACAAGTTTGAACAAAAAAAGAGTGCGAGGTGTAGAGATGATCTGTTTTTGTAACCTACTGCAGAATGAAAATTTCTTACTTTTAATTTATCTAGATTCATATCTAATTAAATTCTTACTTTTCTATTTTACAGAAAATAAGAATCCAAAAAGTAGAGGGCCGTACTTTTCAAGTAATAAATAAATAAATTTTCAAACATAACATAACAACACAAAACAACAACTTTTAAAAAATAGGCATTTTTCATTTAAAAACTAAATCAAAACAAAAAACTTATAACAATTGCTCAAAATGACCGCCGTTTTGTTCTATACATTTTATTGCTCTTGGAGCAATTTGATTCACCGATTTTCGAAGAAACTCTGGATGATTTTTTAGATTTTCGAAAGGATTTTCTATTCTGTTAATAAGTTGTTCTCTATTCATGATATCTACGCAATACACATGTGATTTTAAACATGATAATCCACAGGGTTGAAATCAGGCGATCGTGGAGGCCAGTTATTAGGACCACCCCTGCCTATCCAGCTAAGTACATTCCAGCAACATCTACACCCGCATCAAACAGTAGTATTGTCAAAATGTTCTGAACAAAGTCTAAATAAATATCTCCAGTTGTCGATTTGGGAAGATATGGGGCCCAATTAGTTTAGCTTCTCGTGTAGCTCTTGGGTTTCCCCTGCCCAGACATGCATGTTCCTTATATTGTACACTCCGTCCCTCGTAAATTCCGCCTCATCCGTAAATAAACAATTTCTTAATATTCCTTGATTTCGAATTACCCATTTGCTAAAAGTCATTCTTCTCTCCCCATCACCAGCCTCTAGCCTTTGAACTTGACGTCGCCAAACTGTAGCGTGGGGTACATTTAGCGCATTGCTTACTCGTCTGGTACTAATTTGTGGATTGTTGGTAACCATGTTCAGGATATTATTTTCCTGATCTAGGTGGCGCCTTTCGTTGTGCTCATTTAGTTTTACAGTGGAAAATGTCCCATGTTCTTTAAGGTATCCGAAAACTCTTGGAAATATCTTTGAATCCGGAGTACTTTGATTGCGAAATCTTCTTCCATATTCTTCTTTCGCCGCCCGTGCACTACCATTACAAAACCAGTATACAAAAATAATATCGCATAATCTCGATGAGAATATTTGATCGGCATTTCTTAATACTTTTTAATTTTATTTCCAAAAGTATTAATAATTAAATTTGTTTAAAAGTTTCTATGCAAAAAAACAAATGAAGGGCAACAGTAGATAACATTTTAATTCCAGAGCCTACTGCAATTATTTATCAGCAACAATCGCCATTCGGTGATATTTTTGCTAACTACTAAGCAATAGGTATTATTATGTTTTTTTATTTAGTTTTTGAGTAAAAAAAAGTTTTGATTGTTAGGTATTTACCTTTTTTGTTATTTAAAAAATTAATCAATATTGAAGTTCCTATTAAACTATGTTTGAAAATTTATTTATTTTTTACTTGAAAGTACGGCCCTGTACTTTTTGGATTCGTATTTTCTGTAAAACAGAAAAGTAAGAATTTAATTAGATATGAACCTAGATAAATTAAAAGTAAGAAATTTTCATTCTGCAGTAGGTAAAGTTACAAAAACAGATCATCTCTACACCTCGCACTCTTTTTTTGTTCAAACTTGTTCTTGCACACGTAAAATTTTGTTGATAAACTTTTCTGTCGAAAGATGAGTTGTACTTTTTTTGGTAGCTAATTTAACACTTATTTATGAGGAAGAAAAAAAATTCAAAATTCTAATGTACAGGGTAATTTTTGAGGGTACACAGAATTTGGAAAATTTTGGCCAAGCCGGACCTGGAATTTTTTGCAACTTGGTATACCTACTTATTAGGTAGACAACCCTTAATCCGTATATCAATTTTGAGAAAAAAATACGAAGCCGTTTAAAAGTTATGAGCAATTAAAGAAATGAGCAAAATTGATGAATCACCCTGTATTTCTGAAATAAAGGGCGATAGACCCATCAAATGTGGGTTTTTTAGAACCCCCTCAGTGGTCCCTACATGCAATTAAAATATGTCCGTTTCTCAATGAAACACCCTGTATATATATATATATATATATATATATATATATATATATATATATATAAATATTGGAATAAACAAGAGACGCTAAACAAAAAAATTAACAAATACAAACAAAAGCACGATACGTTAATTCCAACGGTTGTCAAAGTTGGCTTTTGCCATCTATTGTCTTTATAGAAAAACTATTTACCACCTGTAAATTTTGGAGAGTTATTTAATTATGCCATAGATGGCGACAAATTATATTACTAAAAACTTAAAAAGTCTGAAATTACCATATATGTGATACATATATGGAAATTACAGTAAAACCTATGAAAACAAAGTAAATAATAATTTTCAACCATTATTTTACAAACTTAATATTATCCATAATTATTTATAATAAATATTTAGATAACAAAAACACAATTACTTTTTTTGTTAGGTTTTCACTAGTTTTGTAATTTGTGGTCCTCGTAATCGTAAAAATAATTTATTTCCACCTTCTTAGTAAATGACATTTTATAGGTTTGTTGTTTTTGTATCAAAGTAAACGATACATTATGGGAACAGACCTGTAATATTTTACGGGCTTGTTTAAAAGACATGTAAAGTTTTACAGGCTTGTAGAAAAGCAATTTATGAAATGAAATGTCACATTTGACATATTAATTAAAACTTTAAATTTGAAAATCGTTATCTAAAGGTGAAAATAAAAGTTTGTACCTGTCACGCTTTGCAATTAATCTTTACTATAGTCCATTCCATTTAAGAAAAAGCGTTGAGTTGAATAGGATTTATTATAGACCAATCACGACGCTTAAAATTGTGGCTTTTTTTACACAGGCGAAAATTTAAAACCCATCTCTTTTTAATACGTTGGATGTTGATATAACGTAGTTCTCTTATTTTCTTATACAGCGTTGCCATGGCTTTTTTTTAAGGTTTATTGGCATTTAGTCTTTTCGACTATTTAGCCAGCTCATTATTATATATTTTTATGCTCGAAAAACAAGCACAACACCCAAGGCTGTGACCGGGAATCGAACCCGGTACCGTGGCGCAGATTGATTACCGCTCTGTAGCTTTAACCCACTGCGCCATCCTCGGCCCCGTTGCCATGGCTTCTAAAAACAAATTTACAAACTGACATAATAATATTATTTAATAAACCAGCAAGAGTTCTTATTATATTTAAATTATAAAATTATATTATATTAGCTTTTGTCGTCAATTTGTCAAAAATATTTTAAATATAGAAAAAATTTAACTTTTCAAAAGGTTGGATTTATCGCACATTGGCAACGTAGCATCAGCTGTTATAATACAAAGTGTATATTTTGTTAATTTATTCAAAGTGACTTGAAGTACACCGGGAGTACCGCCATTATAAACGTACACCGGGTGCAAAAAATCCTTATTTAGCATATTTGTCAATTGTATAATATTAAATGGTCGCTCAATTTCGCGCTCAATGGGGCGGGGTCGGTTGGGTTGGGTTGTTGAGTTTGGGTTGGTTTGGGTAATTCATACTGACATTTCATTAATTTTGTTGTTAATTGTATTTCAATCACTTAATTAAATTTTAATCAATGTTTATAAAACTTGAGTTAGCTTAATAATTACATAATTAATATCAAGAGTTAACCAGCTGTTTACCAACTGTTATACAACTGGGCCTTAGTGTACCAATTTAATCTCAACCAATAAATCCGAAATTTTACCATCAGCTGGTATGGAAACACGCATGCGCACAAACCTGATGTACGTTTAATGCCCGTAATTTATTACATGTTCTGTGATTTTTTTGGCTTTATTTAACGTATTAACCGTTGTTAATAAATTGTTATTGAAACCAAAGAAAAATATTTTTTTATTTTTGAGATGATGATAATATGGACAATATTGATAATATGGACAATATAAACAATGTGGAAAACCAACCCTCTGTCCTAAAAAACAAATCTGGCCAATATACCTATAGGAAGAGGTCAAATAATAATACTTTTTAATCTACATCCCCATTAAAGAAAAGAAAGCGGGCAAGTCAATATGACAAATTGAGTGAGGAACAAAATAAGCGTCTAAAAAAAGTTGTTCATAACTTATAAAATTTATTATTTAATAATTAAATTTAAGTAAAATTTATCAAGTAAGTAATTATTATTATTATTATTTAATAATGAAATTTAAGTAAAATTTATCAAGTAAGTAATTATGTTATTGAAATATGTTTAATAATTGATTAGAAAAATGTTCCCTTAATGTAAATAATAAATAAAATAGGGGGTAGGTGTACCAGGTGCTGTCAAATAATAAAAATTGGTTTTGCTTTAAATAAATAGGTTTTTATTATTAAAACAAACGTTTTGTGTATAAACTAATTGTTTTTCCTTTTTTTAGTCTGTAAAGGATGATGATAACTTACCACCAATTTCTCGGACAAATTTATGGAGAAGTTTAAAAAAACTTGGCTTCAAGTATGAAAAAAGGGGTAGGAATCATTTAATGATTAAAAAAAGTGAAATAGTAATTTGGAGAAGAAAATATATTGATAATATCAGGAGTTACCGATTACAGGATCAATAAATATATTACATGGATGAGATTTGGATCAATGCAGGACACAAAGCCCAAGGTGTGTAAATGTATTTGAGCAAAAGTCAACAGGGAATTATCATGAGGATATGAATGGAACTGTTTTTGAGACTTGGATAAAAAATGTTTTCCCAAAATTAAAAAAGAACATTGTTATTGTGATGGATAATGCCCCCTATCATTCTGTTAAAATTGAAAAAAAAAATCCATCAGCAGCATGGAAATTGGGAGGTCATTTTGACGTGATTTGTCTCTGTTAAATTTTGTTTTTTTTTTAATAAAACCTTCATTAATTGCATTTGAATTTTATTTAAGCCTTACTTTAAAAAACAAGATTTAATTTAGTAGTTACATAAGTTGTTGTAAAAAAAAATCCAAATTTTTTACAATAGCTATTTTATTTTCTTGATATTGGTTAATTTGTTTAACCCAAATTAAATTATATGTTAAAATATAAATCAATGAATAAATTTATTAATATATTAATATATTATTATTAATATTAAATAATTAATAATAGATTAATTAATTTCATTCGATCAATTTCATTAAATATTTCTTAGCAAATAATGTTACGAGTAGCAATCGCTTATAACGAACCGTAATAAACTATGAACGATGGTTCGCTGTTTGTTATTTTAGAAAAAATAAAGAAATTTCATATATGGCTCATTATTTTTACTGGAACGTTACAGTTGCAAACATATTTTCCTTATTTTAAAATGACTATTAATAAAAACTCGCAGTTTCTTGTATGCATGAAATAAGGGACCTTGAGACTAACATTTTGTTCAGTTATTTTTTTTTAATAATAATAATAATAATAACGTTTATTGTCCAACAGATATAATAGTTATTTATGTATTAAGGGCATAATAAGGTTTTTATGGTCCGAGGCGCTATTTCGAGCCCGAGCGCGTTAGCGCGAGGGCTAGAAAAGCGTCGTAGGACCATAAAAACCAGTTATGCCAGCAATGCATACAAAACTTTATGCACGATTAATTTATTATTATTTTTAATATATTATTGTTTTTAAAGACGTTTACGTCAAAGAATTTTTGTTATAATTGTCATATTATAATGTCAACTGACATCAGTCAGTTTTAAAGTTTAAAGATAAATGAAATTGAGGAAACAGCTGAAAAGGCGAAAAATTGCGGCCTGCTGCCGGTAAAATCAAAATCTTTATACGAAAAAACTTACTTAGAATATATCAAATGGTGTAACATTGTTGTTTTTAATTTTTGACGCTTCATTATAGCCCGCTGGGCCATAATAACGCCCGCGGGCTATAAAAAGACGTTTACGTCAAAGAATTTTTGTTATAATTGTCATATTATAATGTCATCGTGCATAAAATCCATTTACAGAACAATTACATACAA